TTTTAATATCAATTAAATTTAATTAGATAATTAATAAATTAAAAATTAATTTTTATTTTTTAATATAAATTTATAACAAAAAAATATATTTAATATACTTTTAATCTAAGCACATATTAGACCAACCCACAAAATATAACTAAATACTTCTAATTTTTACATCTTTTTCCACAAATGAACACAATTTTATATGCAAAATAACATTAATAATGCAACGGAAACTAGGTCATTAGTACGATGAATTCGTCCCATTTATTTGTTCCCCTTTATCAGTTTCCCTTCTTAATTACGCAATTAATTTACGTTAATTGGGCAAAAGCAAAATTAAACAAGGAGAGGCCCACTGCAGGAGGGCCAAGATTCCCTCTGCATTCTTTGTGGAAAAAAAATATGAAGAAATTACTGATCACTCGCTGTTCTCCTGTGAGGAATCCGGAAAAGTATGGTCTTTGTGCTATGATTGATTTTCTGAAAAATATGTAGAAATGATTGATCATTTACTGTTCTCTAGTGAGAAATGACTGAAAGTATTATCTTTTCTCTTAAAGACATTGGGATTGTGACCATGAGAATTATTTATTTATTTTTATCTTTTTTGTGTTTATCACGTGGATCAGTGCGTCACGATAATTAGATATTTTGTGCGGGTTAAAGCCCACCATCATAGTGCTAAAGGGGCCAAAGTAGATTGGAAACTGTATGTCCTCCTATGCACGAGGGTGGCTTGGGGCTCAAAAATCTGATGTTATGGAACCAAGTTTGTATATTAAAATTCATCTGGATGCTGTTTACAAGAGCAGGATCTATTTGGGTAGCTTGGACCCATGAATACTTACTAAAGGGCAGAAGCTTTTGGATTGTTAATATACCAGCTAATGCATCTTGGGGGTGGAGGAAAATCCTCAAATTGAGACAGGTAGCTAGGAAGCTTATTATGCATGTCCTGGGTAATGGCATGGATACTTATATTTGGCATGATCATTGGCACCCCTGTGGGCCATTATTAGAGACTTATGGTGATTCTATTGTAAGAGATACAAGGATACCTTCTCAAGCAAAGCTAGCATGTGTAATTAGTGGTGATTTTTGGAAATGGCCCCTGGCTAGGTCACCTCAATTGGTACAAATTCAAATGCATCTATTTAGCATTTGGCCAAAGCAAAGTGAGAAAGATCAGGTGTTGTGGGTGCCATCTACATCAGGAAGTTACAAAGCTAGACAGACTTGGAACTGGCTGAGAAGGAAACAGGGCAGAAAAGCATGGCACAAGCTAATCTGGTTTTATCAAGCCATTCCTAAGCATAGCTTTATTAGTTGGCTAGCCATTCTCAACTGGCTAACCACAAGAGGTAAGCAGAAGCAATGGACGTTTACAATTGTTAACACTTGCATCCTGTGCAATAGTAGTTCGGAGACAAATGAACACTTGTTTTTTAAGTGCAATTTTACCAGTAATATATGGTAGCAGCTTTGTTTTATAATTGGTATACCTTTTACTGATTCTTGGCAAAGCCTAATGCATTGGCTGGGTAAGAGGATTCGAAGGAAGTCTTTATATCACACCCTAATCAAGCTAACATGGAATGCTTCTGTCTACCATGTGTGGATGGAGAGGAATAGGAGGTTTCATCAGCAGGTCTTCAAGTCAGAAAGTGCATTTATTTATGATATCCAGATTGATGTAAGAAGCAAAATTTTGGGTTTTGTTCAGCTGAAATCATTGCTATTGCTTACAACTATTGCACGAAATTGGGGGCTTGAAACAATAGCAGTGTGATGTTAAGTTTGTGCATAGTGGTTATTTTGTATATTCTGTTTTGGATATTTTTTTCAAGTAGTAGCATATTTGCTGTTTTTATTGTACACAATCAGTTTGGATAAATAAAAACTTAACATTTTATCCAAAAAAAAAAAAATGCCCACCATCATCCCTTACGAAAAAATGTTCAATTTAACCTTTTTATTATGAAATCGCCCCTTCTCCCTCTACTTTTCAAAAAGTGCTCAATTTCGTCCCTCCGTCCATTTCATGGCCGATGCCTGATGATATCCTTTTGGACCGTTAAAAGCTAGACGGTGAGACGTTTGTAAGCCTTTTTAATTTTTTTCATAGTCCCGACTGGAAGTTTCTCCAGCTCCACGTACATCAGCAAATGGTTTGGCACGATGTGGAACCTTACACTGAATATAGTTGTGCGAGCCAGTACGGTAGAGAAGATGGTCAGGTCCTTCAG